TTTTTTAGAAAATCCAAACCAGGTTGAAAAGAAAAATAATGGATAGAATATCATAAGAATTTGTATAGTAGAATGAAAAAAAGAAAAGGAGTTATTAATAAAGAATCATGATTATAATAACGATAATTTAAAATTGATGATATTTGAAAATAATAATCAATGAACGGATTCTACAGTAAGTACGCACTAATGATGATAATAATAACTCCTTTTTCTTTTTAAAAATTAAAATTTTTTTGTCATTAAAATAAAATCAAACTCAAAGAGCAAATTGATATAAGAAACGGTAGAAGGATAACTTGGTATAGGCAAGAATATACTTACATACGTAATGTATGTTCGTGAGTGCGCATATATACTTTTCATGTAATTTACCCCTTGAACACAAAATCCCTTATTTTTTACGTCACTTTACACAGTATGGTATAACACGTGATTGCATTACAAATTTATGTTGCACGATTGACAACGCGGAGTTTATTAATCTCATCTCTCATTGGACGTTTCCCTCACAAATATTATTTAATTCGTGAACCAGTGAAGCATCATACGTAATAATAAGTGGGAAATTTACTATTAAATTTGGTATCCGAAGTTTCCCAAAAGATAACATATTTTTTATTAAGTAAATCTTATTTATGTTTCTCATAAAAGTTGTAGAGGTAAAATTTCCGTTTATAATGGTTGTTAAAACGCTAAAATCGGCCCGGTGGTTCGTGATATATGAACGTTTTAGTCTTCGCGGCTATATGATCAAAACAAAGAAACATATAGCCGCGAAGACTAAAATGCTCATATCTCGTGACCCACCAGGCTGATTTTAGCGGTTTAACTACCATTATAACCGGAATTTTTGTCTCTATAATTTTTATTAGAAGCATAAATGAGGTTTACTTAATAATAATAATAATAAAAGTTATTTGTAGGGTACCTGGCACGCATAAATTTATTTGGCATGCCTGTGCCACTTTGTACTATGTTTTTTACTAATAAACTATTTTGTCTTTGTGGCATGCCACCATATGGCACGCCAAATGGCATGCCCGTGCCTCTATGCCAGGTACCTTAGTTATTTGTCGGAAAGTTTCAGATTTCACATTTTTTTACTAGCAGGGACGATGATTTTTTGCGGTAATAAATGGGGGTGAGTCAATAGAAATCAAGCAAATTGTTTTTATTGGAATTTTTTTGAAACTTTAAACAATAATAACTCAACAAAAGCTTTATCAAATTTAATAAAAATTTTTTTAAATGAATT